ATTCAGAGCACAGAGAAGTAACCACAGGGAACTGAGGGAGGCGGGCAGAGAGACGTTTGGTGCTGGTGAGCAAGTTCAGCTGGTTTTGCACACAGCAAGAGCTGGCACAGTAGCACCAGTTGGTGTGAGGGAAGCATGCCTGCGCAGAAAGCAGGACGGCACCATCCCTGTTCTTCCAAGTCAGCCTTGGTTGAGTTAAATCATATCATGCAGCTCCAAAGCAAACACATCTGGAGGGGAAAAGTAAGGGAAAGTAGTAGAGAACAGCAGCAATGTAAAATGGTCAGCCTTGCTCACCATTCACCCAGCCGAGCAGAAAGATTTGCACAGACCTGTGCTGAACCACATCACACTACGGCTTCATCTGGAGCATCTTTGTGCTTGGGCAAACAGGCCACGACGGGAACAGAGCCCCGGGCAGCTCTCCATGGGGGAAGCGCTTACAGGTGGACAGGGCCCTGCAAGGCTCTAGGGAGGCAGCCATCAGGTGGAGAAGACTGCACGCTGCACCAGGAGAATACCCAAGTAACACGGCTCGGGGAGGAGGGAAGGCAGGAAGACAAAAATCCCTGACAAGATGTGGTGCAGATTTTCCCAGCAGACAACCCAAATGAATATTCAGAGCGGATGTTCAGGCTAAATACTAACATCAGTGGGTTTATCATTTCTTCATCCATGCCTTTTCTAAAAGCTTGTAACTGGTTGCTTAGATTCTGTAGTAGCTATAATACTCTCAACTTATATCCCTAATATAAACTGTTCCCAACTTTTCATAGCCCTGTATCTTGCCTTACTGCATGCATGCCAGACAGCACGCTTACTTGAAAAAAAATTAGGGAATAGAGGATTTGTCTCAAAAAAACTCTCAGTCTCTTACATCTTTTATTTCATTCCATGCATCTCTTCTTGGTTTCTTCTTGTTCTTATTCTGCTAAACAAATGTAGACAGAAACATTGACACACACAGAATGATTTGGAATCCCTCCCAACAGGAGATTGGGAGGGAAGGAAATTCCACATAGACTTTTCAATCTGTTCTGTTGAAGGGATCATTAAAGAGCCTATCATCAAGTGTATTTTATAGCAAGCAGCACCACTTTCTCTTTGACATCTATTTTGCACAGATTCAGCTAAACCTGGTGACTTGGGAGTTCCGTTTCCCTGATACACGTTATCCAGCCATCAGGGAAAGAAACATCACGAGGGATTAGCCGAGGAATCCAAGACCTCATGACCCCAGAAAGAGGCAGACTACAGAAACATTCAAAAAAACCCTTTACATACCATTCTTCCCCGTATATTCCCCGTATTTTTAAGGATGAAATCAGAGCTTAATGGCAATGCTGACTTGTTAATAAGAACAAGCTACACAAATTGGCATCTGCTACTCTTCCCCCCGCTTCCCTCTTCTCCATCATCTCTGGCAATTTTTGAGATTTATCTACAGAAGCCCTTAGTCTCTGGACTACCTTTTAAAGACAGGTTTCAAAACATTCCTCCTCTTTATACTTATTGCAGGGCTTCCTTCCCTTTCCCCTCCACTCCCCATCCTTGCCAAAGAAGCTTATTTTGAGGACACCTTACTTATTTTAGGCCTTAACATCTTCTATGGAATGCTCAAACAACTAAAATGGAAAAAAAAAAAAAAAAGCTAAAAAAGAGGGAGCAGGAAGTTCCTATTGCTGATCATCTTCCTTTCTTCTAGGAACAATAGGTACTTGCCCCTTTCTCCAGATACTTCTCTGGAATAGAGATTCAGAAGTGAGCGCAGAGTAACCCTCTGGCTTTACACCTCTCTGCACAGCTAAGGTCAGTGTAAGAATGAACCACATGAGCAGGAACATACTGTGTGTCTCTCTGAAGGTCTGGATTCTGCCTCCTGCTCCCCCTCTCCAAACACACACTGCTACCCAATCTTTCCTAGGACATCTAATTTGCAAGCAACCATTTGCCAGAATCCCACTATTGCCGCACTCGATATCTCAGTGCCCCTTCAGGCATTGCTGGTTAGAGGCTCTTCAGACTCGGACACTGCATCTCAGGCCTCACTACCAGCCCCTTCCCAAGCGGCCTGGCAGCCTCTCAGCAGCTTGCTAAGGAGAAAAGGGGATGTTACTGGTTTAATGGCAATCTCTGCCTATTCTGCCATTCACCAAGGCATCTGAGGACTGCCTCTCCTTTATCCTCGCTGACAACTGTCTGCAATTTCTTTTAGTTCCCACTGAACGTATGTTGTTCTTCATCCATACAGCTTCCCATGAAGCGAAAAGTCCTGGGAAGAGCCTTGCCTTTCCATCTCTTTGGGAGGCTACAGTGTTCTTCCCCTTCCTCAGGATCACCATCACCTGGAACCAAGCCACGACACAGACATGCAGGTCTGTGACCAAACAAGCAAGGAAAGCAGCAGCCCTCACCCTTCTACCAAGGGCCCATCTTGCCGATAGCTGCTACTCATGCACTAGCTCTTCTCTGGACAACCACAGCCCTAAAAGCCACAATGATTTTACTAAAGATGGCAGCAGCCAGAACTGTGCAACCCAAATGTATTTCTGCATGTTTGTATTTTTAAAACTCAAGAATGTCCAAAGAGTTGGGCAAGTCTGCAGGCCTTCAAGATTTCAGAAGGAATCTAAGTCCTCCACAACATATGTTGCAAAATATATATATACACACACACACACATTTATATAATATATATAAAGCAAACAAACAACCCCTCCCCCCAAAAAAGTACCTAAGTTTCTCACTCTGAGGTTTCAAAAGTCACATTTAGCATAGAGGAAATAGGGTACCCAGATTATCACTTCCTAGGTTTAGGTTTTAAAATTGCCAATAAATTTTGCCATTGTCTTTTATTCAGAACTTTAAAAAGATTCACCAGCTGAAAAGGAACCAAAAATAGGCCTCCTTGTTATCACAAGTAATCAAGTGCTTTTTATGAAGCATTTACACCGGATAATGACCAAGCGCCTGAACTAAGAATAGAGGTCAGGTACTTTTAGATGGTACAATATAAATTCAACAAACTCTCAGCTAGAAAAAAAAAAGATTACTGCCTACTATTAAGTAAAATATTTTCCCTTCATATGATATTAATTTTAAATTAATATGTTTGCCTGAAGTGACAATATTATTGGGAAATTATATTGAAAAATAAGGGTTTTATTATTCACTCCTCCTCCTCCCTTTTCGCAGTTTAACTGTCAAATTTCAAAACAAGATGTCACTTTCCACAGATGTTACTTGCATTTTATAAAATTTTGAAAACAGGAGTCCTTCATAAAGAGTTCTACATATATATACACAGACTATTCACCGATTCACCACGATATGGCCCATTAGTTTCACATATATGCCTTTTTTTTTTAAATAAGCTGTTTGCTTCATCCATTTGATTAATTCAAGCGTCAAATTAAATGAGAGTTTTTTCCAAGTGAAAATAATTCCACATAGAATTTTACTTCCCTGCAACACACACTATAACAAAGTGTATAAGAATCTCAATAACAAGCATTAGGTACTCAAAAAGCCAAATGACATTTGAGTTCACAATACACATGCATTTGGCTTCTTTGCTCTGCCATATAATTGATACAATTTAGTTAGAATTTGCATCTTTAAGGAATAAAGATTTCCACATTTGCAGTTCAATAAGCATACAGCAATTAGCCAATATATTGCAGTATGGGTCTACTAATATAGTTTGGAAATAGATAACATTAAATATAATGGATTATGAATATTAAAGGTTACTGCACTGGGTAACTAACTTGCATATGGTGATAAATTGACATTGAATCAGTTGTTCCAGATCTTGGCAGGTGTAAGAACACACATGCTTCCCTGCTCAAAAAGGGATTTTGTAGCACAGAGCTATTCACTAAATCACCAGCGTCAGCCAGTGAAGCCGGGTCATCCATCTCCCGCTCCTAGGAGCGGGCAATGCATTGAGTTCCCCACAAAACACCACACACCCGCCCTGCCATGGTAGGGAGGGAGCCCCATTTTGCAGGATTCAGTAAAATATACACAGAAGAACATGATTCTTAGAGCTTCTACTATTTTTTCTACTTGACACCTAAGGTATATGTTAAATTAATACAAAAACAAAACAAGTAAACAAGACATCACACACACATCTCTTGCAGACAGAGATTTTTAAGATAACTACCTAAAGCAGCCTGTTTTTCCAAGCATTTTTAATGCCACTGCTATATCTTGTAAACATCAATGTCCTAGACGCAATTGCTTTTATGATTTAAAAAGCAAAAGTTATGCTCTTTTAGATAATAAAAATTCCAAATATAAAAGTCTGCTGTCTTTTCCTTTTGCATAAAATTGCCTATTAATTTTTCTATTCTCCAAGAAGACCTTTTCCAGAGACTCCGCTAAATTTTGAAGAAATATTCTGCCATAAGCAAGACTATACCTACATAAGACCACTTTAATACAACAGTTAAAGAGCTGCATCCTTATATCCACATGAGAGAAGAAAATGCAAGTGCTTTAAGCCAAACATCTAGAATTAACAAGAACTAAAGTTTGCTCTCATTTTTAGTTACCACATATTGCAGTTACACAGTGTCACTCTCAGGGATCACAACAGAAACTACTCTTGCTCATCTTAAAAAAACAAACAAAACCTTTTCAAAACACCTTTCAGCATAGCAACATCAGTCACTAAAAAATAAATTTTTTTTTCCATACAGATAAAACACTTTTTTTCAACTTGAAGGACAGGAAAAAAAACCCCTTCACTCTCACTTCACAGAAGTACTTCCCAATAAATTTGGGGTATTAGAAATGCTTTTAAAGTATACATGAAAATCAGTTGACCTAATGTGAAAAATCAGTTGACCCAAATTATGTTGCATTAATTATTAAAATCATTGTTTGAGCAGGCTAAGAGAGAAGCTGGCCCTTGCACAGAACCAGCAGGGCTCCGTGCAGCAAGCAGCAGCTTCCAGAGAGAAGCAAGGCCGTGCCAGCACCCAGCTTACCTGTGTCCTGCCGGGACACGTCCTGGGTCTCCAGGCTCACAGCAGGGCAGCCGAGCGGCCAGCACTGAGATGGACCGACCCCATTCTCAGAAAGCCACCCTGTTCAGCTGCCTCCTTGGGCACAAACAGATGGGCTCCCACCTGAGAACACTCACCCAGCCCAACCCCACAGCTGGGGCACATTGAGATCAGCACTGAGGAGGGGCCTGACCCTTCAAGAGGGGCTGGTAATGCCTAAGCAGGCACAGCTGGACAAGCCAGGCTGCTGAAGAGAAACATTCCTTACTCGGCATCTAAATACACCATTTCATAAGCTTCAAGATAGATATTCTCAGATTTAATTTTTTTTTTTTTTTTAGTTTATTTCTAAGTTTATTTGAAGCAATGTTAGAAAAGTTATTGTTAAAATGCTGGTATATAAAAACAGCTTTCAACAACAGATTCAATGCTCTCCTACTTGAAAAGACAAAAGGAAAAAAAAAAAGGCTAAATCAACTTTAAAACAGAGACACTCCTACATACAGACTGATGATCATATATTCTGCTATCACCCAGTTAAAGAGAGCAGCACATCCATTCAAAGGTGGCCCAGGATTAAGTTAGTTCTCATAAAGACCACGCTTTCAACTATGTATTTGGGTAAGAGAAATCCAAACCAAGAGACACTGACGTGTCTTCTCATCCTCGCTCTGTGAGGGGGATAAATAGACCCTCAAACTACTGGACTAGACTACAAAAGTAGGCATTCCCTCTCCGCCCCCCCCTCCCCCCAAAAAAGTGTATAATACTGAATAATTAATCTCTTCCTTTATAGATTTTTAACTTCTGTGATTCTATTTCTTTAAAAAAATCAAAACATAGCAAGCAAAATAAATCATATGTAAAAGAGTCTGCCTTACCCATGAGATTCCAGTTGTTTATTTTTTTTCTACACTACATTTTAAAAAAACAAAACAAAAAATATATCCAGGACTTTCTTCCTCTTTAACTACATAACAGGCAAAGGTCCCTATTCAGCCTTTCCAGTTTATAACAGGGAAATAGATAATGGTATGGATCACAATGAATAAACACACACCATCCTAACGGTATCAAAAATCTGAAATAGGTATTTTTGTGAAGGCTGGGTGCTATAAATGGCAGAGAAGGAGACCTCTGGATCAACTCAACGTTGCGACAGCTCTACACTCAGGGAAGATGAGGGCGGATGCTGCTCGCACTCTAGAACATTCTCCTCCTAATGGAAGTGCAGGACTCGTGTAGTCCTACCGCTGACTTGCCTGACTACGCTGTGGAAGAAAACCGAGCTGCCTGGGAACAGCGACTGTCTCAAATCCATATGTGAAAGTTGAGTGTCCCCTACAATGTAGTTTTTGGGATAATTTGACAACAAGTCCTTGTAAAGTTAAGGCCAATCCTTAGCTTTCCCTTACACCTCGGTGAAAAAGTTTACCACAATCTCTAATGCATTTCCAAACTATGAGTAACATCATCACTGAGAAAGGATCTTGCAAATGGAAGACTTTAAGTGAAGAGGAAAGTTGGGAGAGTTACTCATACAGCAAAAGAGGGGCAAACAAATTGCCAACCCAAGAACCAACAGCATACTTGATTGCAAACAGGCTGACCAGCCAATAATGACATCCTAGATAATTTGTTAGCCGAGATTTTTAAAGAGGACTTTTACAAAACATGCACATCAGCGAACTTCAGACTTACTCAGGACCTGTTCTCACTTGGAAGTTCACAAAGAGAGCACTCTGACTATCCAAGAATGCTTGCCTCCAGTTAATAAATTGAGATATAATGGATACGTGTTGTGTTATCTTGATAGACTAAACAGGCTCGTGCATCTAAAGACATTGATATAATCTTTCACATCACAATAGTAAGAAATCTGAAGTCCAACAAGGTCTGAGCTTTGGCATTCAGAAATCTTTGACTGCTTTGCTGCATATTCCATAGCAGTAACCGACATTCAAAAGGTTTCAATTTTTACTTAAAGGCAGAGGGAAAAAAAAAAGGGGGAAGAATAAGGTAGCTGACAGTGAGGGTGACAGAGCACTGGGACAGGCTGCCGGGAGAGGTTGTGGAATCTGCTTCTCTGGAGATCTTCAAACCCTGCTTGGACGCAGCCCTGTGCCACGTGCTCTAGGTGACCCTGTTTGTGCAGGGCGTTGGACTAGATGACCTCTAAAGGTCCCTTCCAACCTTAATGATTCTATGATTCTCTGAGAAATCAATCATTAGCAAAGGACTTCATTTGGCCAAAACTTCTTACTCTCTTACACTGCAAAAGTTTCATGCAGGAAAAGCTGTTTCACCAACTTTAAGACAACACTGAATGTGAGTAGGCCAAAAAATGAGTCTGAGATTGCTTTCTGTAAAACGAATTAAAAAGATACAAGAGGTGGAGCAAAGACAGCAAATGCTGCTTGCCTCTGGTGATGGTTCTTTCAGACCCCTCTAAGAGAAGAGGAATACAAAATACTGTTCTATTAAGGAGCCCAAGCTCTGGCAAATTTCTATCAGGAATAAGCTAAAAAAAAAATCTAATCATCCTCTTGCCACTGACACTTCAGTGTAACAAAACATGAAGTTTTAACCCAACATACTAGATTTTCACTAAACACAAAAAGAGAGGTTATTTAAAAAAAAAAAAAAAAAAAAAAGGAAGAAAGAGAAGGGGATTGGTGAGGAAAAAGCACAAAGCAAAATAAGAGACAGAACCAGTCCAAGAGAGCCTCATAAGTCTCTCTGAAGAGTTCTAGAGAAGACTTTTCTCAAAATGAAATGGTCTAAGATTTTTGGAAATGGTAACAGCAGCAAGGGTAGTGTTACGGCTTGCTTACTTAACTGCTATTCCCAAAACTGATCTCAAAACCTCAAACGCTATTTGACCCCCTTATTCCCTCACCTAAAAAGAAAGGTCACGGATTATGACTTCTACCAATGTCACATCAGTGAAGGACGGGCTAGCGCTGATCCCTCCCTGGCCACTGCACTCGCTCCTTGCTTTCCTTTCCTCGCCAACTGCAGCGTTACAAAACTCGGTACTAATGGGTTCAGGTTCAGTCTCCTGATGGTACCTGATTAACAAACATCCTGTGAAAGATTTCCCAACCACAACATGTTTGGGTGGGAAGGAAGGTAAAAAAAGAAAGGAGAGGGAGAAGAGGCAGAGGAGAAAAATTCCATACAAATATCAGTATTTTACTTAAGATTGCACCGGTGAACACTACAGAAAGAGAGAATGCACGTGGATACACTGCAAATTTTAGCAGAAAATTAGACACTTCTCCATCTCTGCTTTCATCTACCCCACAATTGTGTTTAGTGTTTAATAAGGAAGACACCTGGATTACTAAATGTCAAAACTTAGGTCACTGTCCACCTAGCATTCTCCAATCAAAGAAATCTCCCCATCAGCCACATGAGGATCGCTTTAAAGTATGTTTAAGCACGGAGACAATCTCATGACAGAATGACACTGAAGACTTACTAGTAGTCCACATGTCTGCAGTACATGTCAGTAGTAGAAGAAAGAAAACTGAATTTTGGTACTTAAGTCAGGAGTATTTTTCAGCTAAACACTTCACTAAACACCGGGCCTGAATACAGTATTTTCATGCTTGCATTCCTTTCACATGCTACAAAATGTCTTAAAATGCTTATGCACAAAGACTTGGTCTTCTGTCCATGAACTAGCGAGATTTTCTATTTGCATAAGACATAATGCTCTAGTTTACAATCATTTTCACAGTTGATTAATCTGTTATTGTTTATATTTCTTCATATTTCTGTAAATAAGTTTAACGCTACGACTTTCTGAATAGACTCAAAGCTAACCAGGAATGACATCTGCAAGTACTTTACAGATTTGAGGAAGACAGCTCTTTCACTGCGAGACAATATTCTAATTATGGGCCTCATTCTTCTCATTGACTCTAAACTAAAAGACTTTCACAGGTTGAATATAAGAGATGATAACAAGTATGCTCAAAAAAGAAAAAAAAGGGGCACTGCATTTTGCATAATTTTGTGTTTAAACACAAATATCACTTTGGTACGAAATAGTAAACAAACTCTTATTTTTTCCCCACTTTTCTAATCTGCTGTAGCTGTCTTAATTTGCTACACTGACAAAAAAAAATCCGTTCATTTTTAAGTAGGAAACTGTAGCAATATATACACAAATGTGAAGGTCCACTATAAACAAAACCAATTACAATAAGTTATTTTTTAAAAAGTACCTGAAAACAGTGAAATCTAATACTATTCACCTCATATTACCAATATACTCCTGAGCAATCCTCAGTCTATACAAGAGACAAAGCCAACAATCCCCCAAATACCTTATCAACTCTGTCATTAAGAAAGAACTTACTTTCATTCCACATTAAAAGAATTTTACAATAAAACTAAATTCCCTCTGAATACCACCACGAATGATATTTTCTAAGCCGAGTATATAGAGTCCAATAAGAATATGAAAGTATATGCCTACATTGACATGTCCATATGCATCAATTGTTAAAAAATATAGTTATGATCATAACTATAAGAAATAAAGAAGAAATGTTAAATTATCTAATTTCTGATTACTGAATTTGTCTCAATGATTAAACCTAGAAAATGGTGCTTATACTAAACCTTCCTCTTTCTACACTTATTCTTTCATCAATTAGCCAAGAAAAAAAAAATAATTCATTTTTATAAGGAAAAAAAATACCCGAAGGCTGAACTCTAAGTTTACTGTCTTTCCAAAGCTGTAAACACTAGAGAAACAACTAAGGCGTAGTCAAAACTGCCAAAGTGAAAATATTCTTTTCCAAGGGCTAAAGGACCAGCCAAACAGAAGGAGCTTGACCAAAGATACGTTTAAGGAACACATTCACACAGAACTGATACCGTGCCCATGAACGTACCGCTGGCTGCACAAAAAGGGCTACTGGCACCACGAGAAACCTCAGTGGCCTCTATCATATTGGAAGGGAAAATTTTGCACGTGTTTTTAGCTTGCAGATCAAAATAATGGCATTAAGGGAAAAGGCTGATATTTTTCTGTTGCTTCAAGGCTTCTCCTTTCCAAAAATAAAAACAGGAGAGGCCACACTCGGAATGGAATTGGAATCTATGACCGAAATGTGTAGATGTTCCACAGAATCACGGAATGGTTGGGGTTGGATGGGACCTCTCGAGATCATCTAGTCCAACCCCCTCGCCAGTCCAGCCTACCACTGCTTAACAGTGGCATAGCCCAGCATATGAACCTGCATATTCTGAACGAGGGAATTCAGGCTTTGAGCGACGGGACCACCCCGATATCCGCGGTACCGATTCTGGGGACACCCGCACCAGATTTCTACAGCTTGCTGATGGGCAGAGAACAACAGCCCCGCGCGGGCAGTCGCGAGAAGCGCGCGGGGCGCCTCCCGCCAGCTCCGCGGGGCCGCTTGAACTTCAGCGCCCCGCCGGGCGCCGCC